AATCAGAAATGCAAATAAGGAAAAAAATAAAAAGTTCCATTTACTTCCAGTTCTGAGTAGATCAAAACATATTGTAGAAAAATTGTGACTGGTCACATGAACAGAGCTTAATTAATTAACTAGCTTCATACTGACTACATAGCAAACTCTGATGACTACATGGCTGGCTACATACTGACTAAATGACCACTGTCTACCAACAGAAAAAGAACAGGAAAAGAACTCTCCAGTAAAGAGGGATGGCTCTCTTCAAAATCTGAAGCAGAGAAGGGAACAATTGGCCGCTGCTGGACCGATTTGCATTCACCCCAGTTAGAAAGGTCCCTTCCAGCCAAAACATCATTAAAGCAGCAAGCGAATTCCAACAAATACATGGATGTCTTGCCTTGTTGCTTTGCCAATTAAAGTAGATCAGCGTAGGAAAAAACGTTACTATTGAATGCAACAGAATATTCCAGGTGAATCCACAGACGTGAGTCTTCTTCAGTTACTCGTCTCTGTGACCTTTGTTAAATCTTTGAGCTCTCTTTCTCTCTTCCAGATTTTGCTTCCCTCCACCTTCCACCGTTTTCTGCCAAGATCTTCCCTTTGTTCTCCTGGAACAGGATCCCTTTTGTTGGAATGAATGTCTTTCTCAGTGTACTTTATTTCCTTCCTCCTGCTTGTCTCACCTTGGCCGGAAACACACCAGTCCAACCCGTTGTAGTAAAACGTAGGCAAGCCAGTAACTGCCAAAGCTTTCTTCACAACCACCAGCTGTTAGTGAATTCTAAGTGGTCTTCCAGGACCATTGGACCACGGAGAGGCCTCTTGGCCACCACTGCAGCACCTGTGGTGCAGTGGATTAAACTGGTGGGATTTTTGGGGGGGGGGTTTATTGGAGGGCAATGAGCAGATTAAACTACAGTCTCCCTTAGTAGATCACCTTGGGAGGAAAGCGATGACAAACCTAGACAGCATCTTAAAAAGCAGAGACATCACCTTGCCGACAAAGGTCCGCATGGTCAAAGCTATGGCTTTTCCAGTAGTGATGTATGGAAGTGAGAGCTGGACCATAAAGAAAGCTGACAGCCGAAGAATTGATGCCTTTGAATTGTGGTGCTGGAGGAGCCTCTTGAGAGTCCCCTGGACTGCAAAGAGAACAAACCTATCCGTTCTGAAGGAAATCAACCCTGAGTGCTCACTGGAAGGACAGATCCTGAAGCTGAGGCTCTAGTACTTTGGCCGTCTCATGAGAAGACTCCCTGGAAAAGACCCTGATGTTAGGAAAGTGTGAAGGCAAGAGGAGAAGGGGACAACAGAGGACGAGATGGTTGGACAGTGTCATCGAAGCGACCAACATGACTTTGACCCAACTCTGGGAGGCAGTGGACGACAGGAGGGCCTGGAGTGCCCTGGTCCATGGTGTCACGAAGAGTCGGACACGACACCTCAATTAAACAACAACAACAAAAGTAGATCACCTCTTATTGGTTCACTTACCTCAACTGGCACTTATTTGTTTCAAAACATTTGTTCAGAGACTCTCGTAAATTAGGAAGAATGAAATATTTCCATTTACTTAGATTCCTTCAAATATAAAAGCAAACGTTTCGTGGAAAGGTTAACTTGTTGCATGATTGAGTTGAACTGCTCAATTAGCTTCCTGCTTAACTAACTGACTGGTTACTTGCTGACTTAACGTTTCAGTCTACTTGCTCACTGAGGAATCCATGACACAGACTCTAACTGATATACTTTAATTGAATCACGTCCTGACTGTAACTGTTAAAAGAAGCTGGAAAAAGAACTCTGAGACACAGAGGCAAACAATTGGCTGCTATTGACTTGACAGCAACCCCAACCCAGAAACGTCCTTCCCATCCAAAATCTGTTAAAGGCATCATATGGGGTTGCAGTTTAACCAACAGAAACTGCAGTACTGCACTGAAGCCTCTGCTCACAATCTGAGTTGAGTCCTGAGAGATTCAGGTAGTCGGCTCAAGGTTGACTCAGCCTTCCATCCTTCCAAGGTTGGTAAAATGAGTACCCAGCTTGCTGGGGAGGCACCCCCCCCACACACAGAAGGTTGGTAAAATGAGTACCCAGCTTGCTGGGGAGGCGCCCCCCACAAAGTATTGCTTGCATACCATATTTTTCCGTGTATAAGACTATACTTTCGTCTAAAATCTTTAGACTAAAAATGGAGGGTCGTCTTATACACGGAAGTAAGCTGAGGAGAGGACAAAAACAAGTGGAGGGGAAAGCAGGGACCGAAGGAATCCTGCAGTGCTTAAATGAGTACCCAGCTTGCTGGGGAGGCGCCCCCCACAAAGTATTGCTTGCATACCATATTTTTCCGTGTATAAGACTATACTTTCGTCTAAAATCTTTAGACTAAAAATGGAGGGTCGTCTTATACACGGAAGTAAGCTGAGGAGAGGACAAAAACAAGTGGAGGGGAAAGCAGGGACCGAAGGAATCCTGCAGTGCTTCGATCCCTTTCCCCCTACGCTTGTTAAGCCCCACTTAGATTTCTTAATTTTGGATTAGAAAAGTGGGGGTGTCTTATACATGAGGGCATCTTATACACAGAAAAATATGGTAATTGTGTTGTAAACTGCTCAGATAATACTCTAAACACTATGGGTGGTATCTAAGTTGAAACAACGACGACAACAACTGTACAGGAAAAGGCAGGGTTATGGAATGACGTTATGGTTCTACCACATGACTGGCGTTGGGGTGGGGACAGAAGGCTTATATGACCTTCTTCACCACAACACCATCCTGCGTACTCATTGATCAGCCTACCAGCCCACCTTGTAGATCAAAGAGAAGTGATTCAAGTTCTGGGGCCAGACAGAGCTGGGTCACCATCTCCTGTATGTCATCCGTCAAATTGTTTTTATCATTTTCATCTTTTTGTTGAAATCAAATTGTTGTAAGTCGCCCAGAGACCTTTGGGTAGTGTGGGTGGCATATAATAAAATCTCAGCGTGTCTGGAAAGGGTGAGAGGTATGACTCACAGAAAGGCATAAAATGACAACAAGGATGACGGTGATGAAACACAATGCTTTGAAGGGTTGTTAGGTTAGCGATGTGAAGGAAACTTGGTTGGTTGAAGGGAACTTGCTTGAATCTCTGTGAAAGGCATTTCCCGGGGTGGTGACCTCCAGTGGTTCTCAAACTGGGGTCCCCAGGTATTTTTGGACTGCAACTCCCAGAAGCCTTCACTACTTGCTGTGCTGGCCATGCTTTCTGGGAGTTGCAGCCCAAGAATATCTGGGGACCCAAGTTTAAGGACCACTTGCAATCTGTTCGACAGTTTGACATAGAACTGCCTTCTGGAATGTTTCAAAAAGGTTGCAACACACCTTTTAGCCGGGGTGAAGAACATACACAGCCAGATTCAGTCAGCCTTGGCTATTGGGCCTCCTTCGAGGTGCCCTATTTGACTTCATCCTTGGGAATTCAGATGTATTTTATCGTGCCTTTTTCTCAAATGTTTACACCTCTTTTTAAATATTTCTGTGAAACACTTCACCTGGTTTCCCCATTCTGTACCTTCTCCAATGCCTTTTGTACTATCAACTCTTTAAAGAATCCAGGTAGTTTGCTTTATTACTATCTTTGCTATCAATACACTTTGTATCCTCAAGATCGGTATTCATAAATACAGGCTAGTTTAAGGGCTTGTTTTTTTCCCCATCATCCCTATAATTAAGGGGCCCTAGGTTTTGAGAAGCTAGCAAATATAATAATCAATGTAATCCTATGCAAATCAATCCAGAGGCATGCTCCACTGATTTTCCTCCTCACTCAAGGCACTTGATTACAACATACCAGCCCACAGAGTTTTATCTTTGTTACTGCTACCGTTCAAACGTGACACTTCCTTTATGATCCTCACTTCTCCAGATCTCTTTCCTCCACTGTATTTGTCTTTGCTTCCACAATGGAAATAGCCTCTTTGCTCCCATGACTGATTTTGTCCCCAGATTGTGTAAAGGTAAAGGTTCCCCTGGACAATTAAGTCCAGTTGTGTCCGACTCTAGGGGCCGGTGCTCATATCCCCATTTGTAAGCTGAAGAGCCGGCATTTGTTCATAGACCCTTTCCATGGTCACGTAGTCAGCATGACTTGACACAGAATGTCACAACTCCCCCCCCCTGAGGGGGTACCTATTCATCTTCCACAATGGAAATAGCCTCTTTGCTCCCATGACTGATTTTGTCCCAAGATTGTGTAAAGGTAAAGGTTCCCCTGGACAATTAAGTCCAGTTGTGTCCGACTCTAGGGGCCGGTGCTCATATCCCCATTTGTAAGCTGAAGAGCTGGCATTTATTCATAGATCCTTTCCATTGTCACGTAGTCAGCATGACTTGACACAGAGCCAGCAGCCTCTGGAGGGTAACAGCTGTTTGCTGATCGTGTCCAGTGAAGATCCTCCATAGGGGTGGCCTGTAGTGTGAAAAATTAGTCCTAAAAACAGCAGAGGATCATTTTCTTCAGCCGGTGGCCATTTTGAAACCTGACAATCAGCTGTTTGCTGATCGTTGTAAAGCGAAAATCGGTTCCTGAAGCAGGGAACCGATCATCGCACAGCGAAAAACCCCATTTAAGCCATCTTTTTGCGATCGCAAAAGCGATCGCAAAAACATCAATGTTAAGCGGATTCATCGTTAAACGGGTAATTGTCCAGCGGGGCACGACTGTACTTGCATTGGCATGCTTTCAAACTACTAGGTTGGCAGGAGCTGGGGCGGACAATGGGAGATCATCCGTTGCGTGGATTTGAACTACTAACCTTCCAATCGACAAGTCCAGTGGTTTAACCACTGAGTTTGGAACATTTACTTGTAGGATGTGTTGCCAAGACCCCATTCACTCAACCCCTGCATGGAGATCTGAACACTCATCAGCAAATTGGCCCACCCCAACACCCATGCTTTGGTACATATTTGGAGAGATCTAAACATCTCCCCACACTATCAAAGGGATGATTTCCAAGAAAGGAGAATTATTTTTTCCCCTCTTGTAATGTGACCATTCTCAAAATGCCTCCATCCTGCAATTAGGCTTCTGCATGTGGGAGAGAGGAGAGGCGCTCTCTTATCTCCAATAATTAATAAAAAGATAAAGCTAGGAGGAAGATGAAACATTGTGAAACTTTCTGAACTCCTGCTTGAGTTGAAAACAGAGGGACGAGAGCTTGCCAAGGGACCTGTTCTGTGTTTAACTTCTCCCGAAGCAACGCACGAGACCTATATGTCAAGAGTAGCTCAGAGAATTTCTTATCAAAAAGCCTTGTTCTAATTGACCATAAGGATCATGTAATGAACTTATCTGATTTACTTATTTATTTTAAACATTTTACCCCATTTTTCTCCTTAAGAAGGACCTAAGGCAGCTTACATCATTAAAAGACAATATGTGAAAGCGAAAGACAGTAAGTATACAAATATTAAAAGGAATCAGACAGTAAACTAGAAATGGTAAACAAAATCAGCACCAAAAAAACAGATTCGAAACCACGAGGCAGAGCACTCCATTTAAAAAACCCTCTCAGATAACAAATCACTCGGGGCCAAAATCAGCACCAAAAAAACAGATTCGAAGCCACGAGGCAGAGCACTCCATTTAAAAAAACCCTCTCAGATAACAAATCACTCAGGGAAAGTCTGCCTGAAGAGAAAGGTCTTTGCCTGCTTGCAGAAGGATGGCAAAGATGAGTCTCCAGTGGGAGGGAGTTCCAGAGTCTGGGAGCAGCCACGGAGAAGGCCCTCTCCTGTGTCTGCACTAAAAGGCTGGGGCTCAGCAGCCACAGAGAAGGCCCTCTCCTTTGTCTGCACTAAAAGGCTGGGGCTCGGGGGTTTGAGCCTTGGGCTCCACCTCCCAGGTTCTCCCCACCATTGCCAAAGCACAAATTTTGGGGTCCAGAGCTTCAGTGTCCTCTCCCCATGCCTCCCCTTCCTCCCCAGTCTCCATCACTCCCTCTGTTTCCCTGAAAGAACGCCCCCTCTCCAAGCCCTCTGGGTTGTCTTCTTTTATCCCAGCCTCCCCTTCTCCCTCTCCCCCTCACTGGATGTCCTCATCGTCCAGCTTGGTCAAAGGCATCTGTCATCCCTCTCGCTTGCCTATTAGAGGCATGGGAAAATAGGACCCCCCCTCACAACAAAACATTGCAAAAAAAACTTTTTTTAAAAAAACTGTAAAATTATCTGTGATTTTTGCCCATTTTAAGTCACAACGGATAGGATTTTAAAAGCTATTGCTGAACAAAGAACTTTAACTCTCATATGTTTCACATACACTCTCATTTTTGTGAAGTGAAATATCCCAAGGAGAATGGTTTCTGCCAGCAGAAATGGAAGGGAACCGTTTTCTTAACCCATTCCCCATAGTCTGTGGCCCTGTCTCAACTTCTACTCTGGAGGACTGGGCAGACTAGGAGAAATGAGGAGGGAGAAATGCCAGTTGCAAATGCAGTTTGCTCAAGGGAAATGACGTTCCCCTCTTCATTGTACTTTTCTTGCTCAAGTATACCATTTGATCATTAAAGAAAGAAATTCGTAAAAGAAACAATGCTATGGTACTGATAATACCGATCTTATTGCCACTAACCCTTTCTCATGTCAAATTTCTGCCAGAACATTTTTCACTCACCATTTTTCGTACGCAGTCCCCATACAATGAAAAGGTTTCACAATTCTCTTTACTCATTCTCTCTGTCGAACGAGTTAATGATTAATAGCTGAGAAAGAAATACCTGTATCAGAGTATCGGCATAAAATCTTGTCCCGATCCGCCACATGCTTCCAATGACAGGAAGAGCCAGAGGTCCGGGGGGGTAGTGTCTGCGCGTCCATTGTTGTTTCAGGAAGAGGATAAGAAGGAGAACCACCAAGAGAGCCATCAGAAATGCCCATGTGCTCATCTTTCTTTTCTCCTGTGGGTCTTTCTACTAGGAAGCAGGACGGAAAAGGCAGCCTGAATCTTCTTTCTCCAGTAGCTTGATATATCTCCTGCTTTTTCCCCAACCAATATATTTTTTGCGTATCACAGTTATTAAAAACAAGTACTCATTAAAAGCTAATACGCAACAACCATGGATATATGAACATGCAAGAGCTATGTCTCGTTAGATCTTGCCCTTTGGGCATCTGTCATAGGAACACACTGTCTTAAGCAACATGCTTAATTGTTATGTTTGTCACACAGGGCTTTTATCCCGCACCCCTTTGTGCTTTTTGATGTTGCCTCATGACCAATTGGCATGCAGTATATTGATATTTTCCCTAGAAAAGACCCTGATGTTGGGAAAGTGTGAAGGCAAGAGGAGAAGGGGACGACAGAGGACGAGATGGCTGGACAGGGTCATCGAAGCGACCAACATGAATCTGACCCAACTCCAGGAGGCAGTGGGAGACAGGAGGGCCTGTCGTGCTCCGGTCCATGGGATCACGAAGAGTCAGACACGACTTAACAACTAAATGACAATATTGGTATTTTCATCCAATGCTACCTTGTAAAGAACCCACTTCTCTCTTGAAGAAACCAGCATCTCTTTCGAAATCGTTCCACAGTGTTAGAGAAGTACAACAATGGAATCAACTCCCTCAGGAGGTGGCGAGCGCTCCAGTGCTGGAGGCATTCAAGAGGAAATTAAACAAATATATGTCACATATACTTTGATTTGGATTCCTACTCTGAGGAGGGGACGAGACTCAATGGCTAACAGCAACAACAACATGCTGTCAAATCAATTCTGACTTTGTGGCAAACTTTTTCTGGGTTTTCCAGACCGAGAATACTCAGAAGTGGTTTACCATTCCCTTCTTAGGTGGATGTCCTGGGACTCTTGTGCAGGTTGACCAAGGCCACACAGGCGAACTCTTTTCTGAGGAGGCACAGTGGAGAATCGAACTCCCAATCTTAGGCCCCACAGTCAGATACCTAAACTGAGCTGTCCAGACAGCTTTATAACAGCTTTATAGACCCCTTCCAACTCCATTATTCTATGGTTTGGCTGTTGCCATTCCACTTGGGACATGTCCCTTAGAGAGTGTTACCCTCCAGAGGCTGCTGGCTCTGGAAAATTTTGTCTGAAGCCCTCAGAGCTTTTCCACATGACCACAGCCTACATTAAGGTCTACGGTGTTAACGATGGAATTGGTTGTAATTAATTCTGGCCTAGGAGAGGCGGCTCCTCCAACTTCTCCTGTGACGATAGATACTTATCAGTTTGTACGTACTTTTCATTCAGGTTTATTTCCCCTTATTGATTAACTGCAAAAGGTGTTAACGATGGAATTGGTTGTAATTAATTCTGGCCTAGCAGAGGCAGCTCCTCCAACTTGTCCTGTGGTGATAGATATTTATCACTTTGTATGTACTTTTCATTCAGGTTGATTTCCCGTTATTGATTAACTTCTAAGAAGGGGTGCTGTATAACCAAGGGTTGGTACTATGCTTTTTTTAAAAAAGTGCTTTAAATTGCTCTTTAACTAGAATTTTTAGACACAATAATGTGCTTTAATATGCTTTGCCATTCCAACTGTTTTGACCATTTTGTCTGTCACTGCTTTTGTCTGCAACTCTTTAAAACAATACCCATTTTCCGTCCCTTTGTGAGCAGGATCACACTCAAATTAAAGGACAGAAAAGGAAAAGAAGAAAATCGTTTAAAGCATTAGGTTTTTTTTGCTTCTGCTGTCGTCCTTAGGTTGGTAATAGGTAGCAGCAAAATATTGTGACAAACATAACATCTGTATGTGAACTATGATCTGGCACTTACTGTACAGAAGTTATTATATAATGTGACTCTAATCATGAATCAACATGAAACTTACAATTGTTGAAGCAACTTCTGATGAACCGCCAGACCTCATGTATAAGAATCAGAATCCTTCTCTTTTTATTTTGCCTGGATAAAGTCACGGCGATCTTTGGGTCGGGAAGCTCATCCTTGTCGCTCCCTTGTCATGGAAAGAAAATGTGCTCATGAAGTTTGGATTAGAAGACTTTAGCTTTTACTGGGGAGGTAGACCAGTTCGACTTGTCCAGCCATGAAGTCTCATAAATCAAGCAGACATGTTTACTTTATTATGTTCGGTTCACATTTTAGGACAAGCCTTTAGAATACTTGGCACAGGGAAATGCCTTTCCAGTAATAGATATAGCATTCATCAAGATCTTTTGAAGAAGAAGAATTAGTCTAATTACAACTGTAATGATTGCTTCACCTAGGGTGACCTTTTAAAAAAATGTACAGTGGTGCCCCGCATAGCCATGATAATCCGTTCTGGAAAAATTGCCGCTATACGGATTCGTCGCTATGCGAAACAAAGAAGCCCATAGGAATGCATTAAAACCCGTTTAATGCGTTCCTATGGGCAAAAATCTCACCGTTCTGCGAAAATCCTCCATACGGCCACCATTTTCGCTGCCCGGTAAGCGAGGAATGGGCGCAAAAACACAGCGGACGGCCGTTTTTTTTACCTGGTGGCCATTTTGGAACTGCCGATCAGCTGTTCTAAAAACATCGCTATGTGGAAATCGGTAAGCAAAACAGCTTACCAATCATCAGAAAGCAATGTTTTACCATTAAAAACATTGCAATGCGATTGCGTCACTATGCGGATTCTTCATTAAACGAGGCGCTCGTTAAGTGAGGCATCACTGTACAGTATTTGAAAAATGGCATCATTATTTATGTCCATTATCCAC